TTACCTTCTTCAGAGGGATTTTGGCCAAGTGGGTATCCTGTTTTTCCTTATTTGTCGGTGTCTGGGTCGACTGTGCTACAGTAATTTCCCGTCTCCTTCGGCTTTGCTTCGTTTTCAAGTGAGGGTAAAATTGGGAATATCTTCTTTTTTTTTTTGGTTTTCACTGTTTTTTATAATTTTGCCTTTTTTTTTTCATTGGTCAAAGGCCAGTTTGAAAAATTGGCCGGGTCAACCGGCCAACAGCCACTAATTCCTCATTCATCCTCCTCCATCAGCCGGCTGCCAGAGTGAAACTAGGAAAAAAAAGAATTTCTTTGAACTCATCTCTTTCCTTTCACCTTCCTGCAACTTCACTGTTGCTACCCGACGGCGCTGGCATTCCTGAACATTCCGGCGGAGCCAGCACGCGCGGCCGCGCCCCCTCGCCGGGTGCTGGCTCCGCGCCTGGGTGGAATCAGCACAGACTAGCGGTGATAATCTTGAAGATTTGTGCAGGGATTTACATTGGGATCTGGTGAGTTTACTCCACTGAAGTGGAGAAGGAAAGCCATGTTTGAGTTTGGGTACTAAGAGGGCTTGTACTTTGGATAGTCTTTAGGCACCGTATGATTTTTTCCGCCATGAATATTTATTTTCAGACTGTTGAATACTTGAATGCATTTCGGTGGAGCTTAAGGCTTTGAGAGATATGGGTGGTGGTGATGTCGGTGTTAGGTGGGTGGTGGTAGCTACTAAGTGACTGTGATAGTTTTGATTTTGGAGAAGAGGGAGATGGGGATGGGTTGTAGCTTCATTTATTTATTTTTTTTTTATTTTTGATTTAATAGGAAAAATGTGTTTTATCCAAAATACTCCTATCTTATTTGAGGAAATTAATAAAGTTTTTTATTTGGGAGTCAACTGACGTTTTTGGTAGTCAAGTTAACAAAAATCATCATTTTGAACTTGAGCAACAAATTTTTTGAAGGTTTAATACTCATGATAGTACAAATGAAAGGTGTGGGCGAACTTTGCTAATAAATGAAAGGTTTGACACCGCGGCTGTAATTTTCCCTTTATTTTCTGTTGGTCTTTTTTATGAATGTTTAAGAAAATGAAAATGGGTTAAGTTCTAAATTTCATAAATTGTGAGTGTTTATAAATGGAAATGTGAGTTGATTAATTTGAAATTTTCAGGACACAACGACGAAAGTAAAATTTTATATGTTTTTTAGTATGTGAATTGCATTTCTGATTTATGAAATTTGGGGAATTTGTGATTATGTGATATATGTTATTTGTGATTAATGATAAATTGGAAAATTTGAGATTTGTGATAAATAATAAATTGGTATTGAAAATTGATGATCGTTTAATTTACGTTTAAATTTCATGCAGATCATGTAACGATTTTTCAATTAAAACGAAAGTTTCAACCTAATTCTTCCAGTGGAGCATCTAGTCTCGCCACTATTTATAGTCAAGCACACGGATTGTAAGTCATTGATAACTTACATTTTAATACATTAATATATTGATTGATTTTTTTAATATTAATCAATCAAATATTAATAAACGATGTCGTTATTACAATTGTGGGCGGTCACTGGTCAATGACTGTCCCATTTCACCAACAATCCTGAATTTGCCATTGCCTATGATAATTTATGATAGTTGCCTATTTATAACATTAGTTCCATCTTTACCCTTGCCCAATGAGATAATGTCCCCCCCCCCTCTCTCCACCCCCCCACCCCGCACCAAAATTGTCACTGGATACAATTTTTTCATATTTATGCCACCCAACAAAGGACATGCTCACAGGATGAGAATTTTTCAACCTGGCATTTTGTGAATATTGTCATCATTTGGCATACGAGTAATGCTATTTGTACATAATTATTTATTGATGGACATACATAGAAAGAGAAAAAAATGGTTTGGAAGGGAGGAAAAAAATGAAATCAATTAATTTCAATATAGTATCATATCATCAATATGTACATGTAGCATTATTCACAGTTAATTTCAATATAATATCATGTCATCAATAGCATTGTTCTTAGTATGTACCGTAGTCAAAAGAATCTGAATATACAACTTTCATTTACCAGTAAAAGTAAAAAATTATAATAATCAATAATTCAATATTCCATACAATGAACAATATATATTGATGATTATTAAATAAATAGAAGGGAAAAGGAAAATATTCTTTTATATATATTTTTTTGCCCTTCTGGGAAATGATATACCCAAATTGGTTCATGCACAAAGGAAGGAATAATACTATGTAACCCCACTGAAATTATAACTTCAGTTTAAGTGACGTTAGATAATAGGTGATTGAAAGGTAAAATAAGTGACTTCTTTAATTCCATTTACCATTTAGTGTGCGTTTGATTTCAAGTATGAAAAAAAAAAATTTAGGTAATTCAATCGCTCAGAACTTATTTGCATGAAAATTATCGAAAAAAAAGGTGAATTATATGGAAAATAAAATCACATTCCTCCTAAAGAAAATATTTTCCTTCATTTTGAAGAAAATATGATCACGTGGCAGAAAAATATTTTTCATAAAAAAAAATAACAATCAAACATCATAAAAGCAGAAATTTGTCCGAAAAATACATTTTCCATAAAAAAATATTGACATTTAAATGTACTCTTATTATATCATTAACACCACTTAAATTGAAATCATAAACCCGGTCTAAAAGAATCCCCACGGCGCACATTTCACTTACGTGAATAACACGCGTAAACTGAAAATGAAAGCACCCATTACTTGAAGGGCGTGGGTCGCACGGAAATAGCAGTGGAACCGGACAAACAGTGCATTATGCACCTAACAGTAACGGAACCGCCGTAATGGCGTCTGACGGAACCCAAAATCCGTGTCCAAGTCGCAAAAACCAAAGCGGTGCCAAAAATTCTTGAATCTCAATTCTCAACATCAAAATTCACGGTTTAATTCACATTGCACTGCAAATTTACTTCAGTTTTTAGTTTCTAATTCAAAAAGCTTTTGTATTTTCAAGTGTAAAATTCACTGTTTCTGTATTCAAACTTCCCATTTTTGCAAACTACTCCTTTTGAGAATGACGATAATTCCAGTGAGGGACATGGTACAAATGCTGCCTATGGCACCTTCCTTCATAGAAATGTAGCGGAGGCCCTTAATAGTAAGACGCGGTGGCAGGAACTGATTTGCGCGGTTTCAGCACGGACGGGAAATCGAAAGACGAAACAGGAGAAGAGTTTTTCTTCGAGTTCATCGGGAAAAGCAAGGCTCTGATTTTTGTTCCCGGCGAAACTCTATTGTATTCTTCAATCACATTCTCAAGGTCCTCGTCAGATTTGATTGAAACCAACACATCCAAATCTTCGCTCGGTAACTTACACTTCAAATTAATTGATGAACCACAACATTCCCCAAATTTCACCATCAAATCTGCATAAAATCCAAAATATACTTCAACAATTTCCCATAAAACTATAGAAAATTACTTCAAACCAAAGATTTAAAATAATTAATTTTAAAATCAAACGGACCTGCAAATGTGATAGAACGATTAACGGAGAGGACTCGAGTGTATCCGCCGACGTAACGGAGCTTACAATCGGTGGTGCGTGGGGCAATTTTGCCGCCATAACTGCAGATGAATTTGATGGTTTTAGCACAGTTGTTGCTATTGGTATTGGAATTCGAAGACTGGGTCATGCTAGTAGAGAGAGAAAAAGTTGAAAAGATATAAAAGTTGTACACAGGAGATTTACTGTCACCTTCAAGAACTTTCAAGAAACTAATTTTACGAATATGAGGCCTATTTATAGAGTTGGTGTGCACTAAGGTTTTAAAAAATAGAATTTAAAACGCAATGGTCCAATGTCAGTGTTTGGCAAGCAAGAAGTTGGGTGAAATAGAAAGGAAAACCCAATTCTTAAATATTGGTAGTTATGTGGTAATTAATCTTTATTACTCGAAAAATACAACGATCTATCAAGTTGATCAGATGAATATTTATGTTAAATGTAATAAGCCGCTAAAGCGAACTACTTGACAAGAGTTCGTATTTTAATGAATATGAATGAACCATATTATGGATACTTTATAAAAGAGACCTGATTTTTGTAAATTGTAAAACTCCACAAACTACAACTCTACTGGGTTGGTCGTGATTCAGACCTACTCAAACCTATTTTAAGTCCTAGGTTTGAGTCCCAAGCAAGACAAGACAAGGCAGGCCCATTCATCAACACTCGAATGTAGATGAAAGGGTTAGATTGGGATGCTAATTGGACGGGATGTTTGCATGCAACAAGTGCATACATAAAGGTCATGGACCATAATTATTGGATGCAATCTCGATCATCAAATCATGTCCAAATTTGAAAATAAAGTGATCTAACGATCTAGATTGAATCGTGCAAAATGTTGTAGCAATTTAGAAAAGACATATCAAAATCTAAGCACTTAACTCATTCCATTTTATTCTCTTCATCCCAAATTAATTCACTAACCATTGACTTCTAAATCCATCCCCCTTCTAAATTTTATTTAAATATTTTTTGAGTTTCTAGAGTAGTTAAGTTCAAACTTTTTGAGCTTCAAATTTTACTTATTTGTTCAACGAATTAAAAAATGAAAATGTGTTAAATCTTCTTTATATGCTGAACTCAAATAATTATCAAAAAGAATATGGATTTCAAAAATGAATTATGAAAAGAATAAATTAATTTCGAGTAAAAAATGTAAAGAGGATTGTGCGGTCCAGTGGATGTATGACTAGTGGCACAGGTTATATGGAACAGCTATATGGGCCCCACGGCGGCAAACTAATTGACGGCCACGTGTAGCTAAGATTCGGCCGTTCTGTTCCGGATTTCAAGGCGTTAGTCTGCCATTGGGCCCACAAACCATCCGTTAAGCCTGTTGTTGGTCGGGTTCGAATCCATGCATCTTTCGACACAATAAATCACTTTTATATTCTTTTATGATACGTGCGCCTAGCAATGGGGCCCACAATAATTGACATCACATTTCTTTCAAGCAATGTTTTTAGTAAAGAATAATTAGCACGAAACGCCCCATATTTTAATATTTTTGTGTAAAACGTTTTCATCTTTAATTTTTGATAATTTCATTTTCACTGTCACCTTTCATTACGAAAAATGATATTTAGAGGGTGTTTGACACTTATTTTTATGGAAAAATGAATTTTATAATATTAGATTGATGGCAAACGTGTGAATGAAAAATAAGGAAATTTTTTTTATATACGTGTAATATTATTTTAATGAAAAATGTGTGGTTAAAAAGAAGAGAGAGAAAAATATATTTTGATAAAATTGAAAATCAAACGGGGCCTTAAAGGCTCCTTTAACTCGACAAAAAGATTAATTAGTACAAAACGTCTCTATCTTTCAATATTTTTGTAAAAAACGTCTTTACCTTTCGATTTTAAAGGTAGATTTTTTTTTTTTTTTTGCAAAGTATACTAAAAAAGAGTGTTATTAATATAAAACGTATTAATAGGTAGGAATTGTTATCACAAGTTCATTTTCATGCTAGAAAAAAGGACCAAGTCCAGTTCATCCATCATCAAATAGCTTGTTGGAACTCAATGTTGCTCTCATTTTCATGCTAGAAAGAAAGGACCAGGTCGAATTCATCCATCGTCAAATAGCTTGTTGGACCTCAATGTTGCTCCTAACGGTTGATTTGCTACTCACAACTAGTCGTTCCACGTTCCACACAGTTGCGGCCTATGCATAGACTCGAGCTAAATCATTCTTTCAAGCATGTTGCCTTAGACCCAGACCATCTATATTTGCACGCGTGAAAGATGATATTTGCTTTCTAAGCCCGAAAGGTAGCCTTAGATGTAGGGGCTTATGATGATGCTAAAAATGATACAACGCCACCACCGACTCGAACTTTCACTCTTGATAAACGAGGCAAATTATAATTTAACAATGTTATATTATTTATGAAGAATTATACTCGAACTATGTTTAATCAAGTACTAGACAGATTATAATTTACTTTATTGTTCTAATCCAACCAGGGTTACCCTCTATTATAATCAAACTATGTCTCTTTTCTATAAAATTACAACACCGTCCATTAAGTTTCTGATTGACGGCCATTTTTTTCTAGGAAGAATGAATTTTTAAATAGTAATTTTTCAGAAAATGTATAGTTAAAAAATAGAAAAAAAAATTTGAGTTTACATGAAAAATATTTTATTGTGAGAATGTGTAGTTAAAAATGAAGATGAGAAAAAAGAGCATTGAAAGAATGGTTATCAAATAGGAGCTATAGAGACAAGTATTCCTTCTACATGTTATATAATTATTTTATGTCCTAATATTGATTTAATCACCAGAGGGACTACGAGAACAAAATCTCCCATCTTTGTTTCGGGTTATAGGAAGCGCTGTTCATGATCATAACTCGAGTCCAAACAATTCAAGTTTAGGTTTACTTAAGTGTGATTTTTGACATTAACAACATTTATTTATTATCAATGTTTTAAAAATCAATCCGGGCATCTACCAGAAAAAGAAAAAGAGTTAAGAGTTAAAAGGTTGAATCGGTGTTGAACCGGATGCCAAAATTGAATAAATATATACATACGTAAACTATAATAATAATAAGTTTTTAAGTTTCAGTTTTCTAATTCAAAGGAAGTATAAATTCATGTTTGTTAATTAAAATTATCGCCTTAATTTATCTTAAAAATTAATAATTAATATGTTCAAAATAATTACTTTATTCAAAATATAGTTAATTATGATTATAATTTTGTTGGGGCTATGATTTGTTAATGGATATAATGAGTAAATTATTAAATATTTAAAGTTGGATACAAATCTTCTCCCACACTGGAAGAGTAATGAAAACAATAGAAAACGAGTCTCCATAAAATGGTTTAGCACTTGTTCCACATTGGAAGAATAATGAAAAAGGAGTCTTAATAATATGGTATAGCACTTACAAGGAAATTTGAAATGGGCTTGTTAGTTCAAAATAAGCGAGCCCATCAAGAAAGTTAAAATTATTTGTATTGATAAAATAAAAAAAATTCTAAATCGTAAAAAATCGAAAATGATTTTCGTTTCACGGTTAAACTAGGTGGTTTAACGATTTTGTCATCGTTTTTCAATATTTGGTTATAAACGTATGCTACACACTTGTTCCAGGGATAACATCTTCATAAACCAACGTAGACACTACATTTAAGTTGGCAGTGACCAATGCTTATCCTGAGTTGGGAGCAGCTTCATTATCAACCTATTTCCATTGATGGTCCATGAGGTGGGATGTCAATCCTCTCCCCCGTTGTCTTTGCTGAGGTAGGAGACCCCTATTGGCTCTATTCTTGTGATCAAATAACTTTCCATTGATAATCTCTCGTCTCATCATTTCCAGCAATGCATCATAAGTAGTTAGGTCCTGATTCTGTACGTCCCTCCAAAAAAGTGTATTTATGTTTAGACCTCCTCACAATGCCGACAATGCCTCATGATCAATAACTTGCACACAATATCATTTCATCAATGAATCGAGACAAGAGCTTTTCAATGTTTTCTTGGGTTGTTGCCTCATGTCTTGGAGACGTTCGATGGGAGCCTCTCCACCTTTGTTTACGGCAAATCTTTTCAAGAATGTGGTTTTAAACTCTGCCCAGCTTCAAATGCTTCCAGGAGGTAACTTGCTATACCAAATTTTTGCTGCTCACTTAGGGTCAGGTGAAAAGCTCTACATTTTACAGCGGGGTGGCGCCTCTCCGACTCATGTGAGTTTTGTAACTATTGAAATGCTTAGTCGAATCGCCTCTCCCATCGTACTTCGATATTTTTGGCGTTACATAGTGGCTCGATAGATGAGCATTTCTCAATTCTCGTGAAATAGGTAAATTTTCATCATTATCGTCGAGATCACAAGATCGTTGGGGTTCGTCGGAATCATCGTCTTCATCAGCCTGATATCTAAACGGTGGATGAGATGGGCACGCCTAGGTTCCCGCCGCCTCATTTCTCCTTTATGGCTTATTTCTAGGTGGATCAACATGGGGGCATATTCTTGCCTTTTCCTTTGGTTGTCATGTTGCAAAATGTGGGAATAATGGCTTATTTCAAGGCGTTGGGAACTACTGGGGCTACCTGAGCCTCGGTTTAGCGGGGCTAATTATGTCAAACACGCTGACGAACCTTTGAGGCTTGCGTTTCGACTTATATTCATGAAGAAAATTATATTCCTTGTCAAATGAGACCTCAGAGGGTCAGCTAGAAGCATAATTAGAGGAAATATCAATTCCCACCTCTCTCTCAAGGGGACTGCCCTCTCTGGCATGCCTAGAGGATGGGGCTCTTTGGCTCTACACCTCATCCTCTTGCAAGTATTGTTGTGGTGAGAAATGAGGGATTAGATAACCTTCCTGACCTTGCATTTGTATCAAAAGTTCTTGCATAGCCATGTTTTGGTTGGTGATGTTTCTCATATTGGATGCCATGGTAGCCATCTCTCTAGTAAGTTGGGCAGCTATCCTCATTCCACTGTGTCTATTATGGTGGTGAGGTCGGCGCCAACCCGCTGGGGTAGCCCTGCTGCTTATGGGACTCTATCATTATTCTCCCTTACCCTCCTAGGAGGAGCATTATGATTAGAACTCATCTCTCTTTAAATTGTCAAAAAATTCCAACTTTAGGGGCTTCATCTTGTTCTTTTACAAGAACAAATCATTTTTTAGAGGGGATGCTCAACAAACTTTTTCACGGGGTTGCTTTTGATTATAGT